AAAAAAAAAAGATATTTATGCATAAAAAAGGCTTAGCATCACAAAGCATGGTACTGTCTATTAGTATTTATATCGCTGTGGTTGAATTAATACCAAAAGCTCCTATCCTGACAAAGTGACAAACCTGAAGACACTCACTGCAGTTACAGGTACAGCTAGATGATCTTTTTGTTCTTTCCAGCCTTAATGATTCTATGATCAACAAACTTAAAGCTTATTTTCAACCCGTTTAAAATTGGGATCAAGCTCCTATTAAAATATTTGACTAATTCAGTACTAGTTAGACCAATGAAGTGCATCTAGGAAGGCTTCTGAAGCTTACTGATACACATAGAGGGAAAATGTGAACGTTACAACAATTTATGCTCTTGACATGATAATTAGTGCCAGCCAGAGGGAACCTGAAGCTATCCAGTCACCGTAAGAACACACACATAAAAAGGAAAACAATACACAAAGCAACAATTTGCAAATTAAGCAGACTGTAGGAACAACCTATGATCAATATACATGATAGAGTACTCAGCTACTAAAACCCTTTTGAAATGAGCTGCTGAATAGAAAAACTCCTTTCCCAGATTCTTAAAAGAGGAATCTTAGATACGTAATTTACAAGATATTTCCAAATTTGTTGATCAGATTTGTTAAATTCTGTATAGATAGAAATGACATTTTCATGAACTGTTTACATCACAGCTACAGAATCTCACCTTGCTATTGGGCTACTTGAACATGGAGAGAACTATAAATGGGCGTGGAGGGAAAGAACTGGTTAGAAGTGCTGAAAAAATAGCCAGTGATGTTCTGGTATTCTTTGGTAAGAGCTAAACCTGCTGATTTCTGTCCTTTCTCCATACTTAACTGAATGTTCCCAATCTGAAAAGACCTCACAATCCTCACTTCACTACCCATCCACACTGCAGTGACTGAGAGCTGCAGGCAGTACTGCCCAGACCTTCCACAAAATTCATAGCGATGAACAAAGGAACTACCTTGATCTATCTGCCTTTTGAAAAAACTTTAAAAGTCACTCTTATTGCAAGATCAGAATTTTAAAAAAGCTTCTACTTCATTTTTACAAGTGGTGACATTTACTCGCCAAGCAAAATTAGCAAAAAACATTATTTGAGAAGTAGGTAGCACACAGGGTAGAAACAGAAACTGCATTCTGCCACAGAGCTGCAAGCATCGTGCCATATCCTTCAGCCAGCCCAAGTGCCCAAGCATGGAGGGACATGGCTTTTAGACAAAACTGTGCTTTGGAGATAAAAGTAAAGAAATAAAGAGAACTCTTTAAAAGCTACTGTAGATTTTTCAGCATACATGTAATATGCATGCATGTAAGAATCTGTTAAACCACAGCTGAAACAGTACTTTACAGAGTACATTTAACGCCAGGTCCTTTTCAATTATTTTCAATTAAATCATTTTAACGCTCGCATTAAAAGTGAAGATTCTCTCATATAAACACCAACTGGCTGTAGGTGAAACACATTCCACCTGGAAGCATTACGTCGTTCAACTGACTTAGCTTAAGCAGTAGGAATTATCATGAACTTGAGACTGAAACATTAATCTCCTTCAAAGATGTATTTTGGAATCTCCCTGATGATCTGTCTGGAAAGGCACTAGTTCAACCAGAACCTTGAGGTAGCTGATCTTCCTGAGAGCTTAGTTCTGCATTTTCCAGACATGGACAGAATCCTTTATGTAGTGTGAGAAGATAGAGCCTTGCATATGGTGTATAACCAAGGAAGTCTTGAAGTGCATTCTAGCTTCATTTTGTTTCTGAATCCAAGCAATCTAAGTTCTTGGAAGGCTTATTAGATCAAATGCCTCTTGTCAGGCAGATCAAACTTTGCAGAAAAAGTTTGGATCAACTCTTGAACATCAGAAAGGAAGTTTGGTTTAAGGATGTGAATTCTTTGATAAAGAAGGGGTAGGACAAATACAGGACAAGAGTTCTCAATCATCTACGCTGTGAAATCACTACCTCAAAGAAGTCTGTCCCTATTATGACTGGGCAGTTTTGCTAATTTTCTCATACAATACCAGCACAATTTACACTAGATTTGTTCAGTGCTCTGGATTTCCACCAGAACACTGAGACTCAGACAGTCATTAAGTATACCTATGAGACTTCTGATTCTTCAAGATCTGCTAGTCTTAGACACTGTAGCAGACAAATATTTGCCGGATTGGCTGAGAATTTTAGCTCAGCAAAGGGGCATTGCATTCCCCTCATCACTTCAATACTCGTATTTAGCCTTTAGTGTATCAGCCCTAAATCCAAATTACTGTTGTGTAGCACACAGAAGGACAAGCAGGCAGTATGGAAGAGAAGCAACCAGAAAGTTGAGAAAGAGGAAGCTAAAAGCAGAGCATCTTTTTCAGCCAGTACTTAAGTTTTAGAAATCTGTATGCAAGAGTTACAGAGTTGATTCCTGTGGCTATAAAAGAGCACAGCCATGTTAAAGTGAAAACAAAACATTTCTCATTGATGAAACCCTAGGGCTTGAAGTGTCTCATCTCTGCCTCATAGAATGAAGTAGTCTTCCACCACTGAAATAGCTCAGGGTTGTTATTTTCATCCTACTGAAAATGAGCATTTCTACTCTGCTCAGGTGCTGTTTAACTTCAGCTATTGTTGAGGATGTGCATTAGTGCTCTCAAAATACATTTGATATAGCAGCCATGGCTGCCTAAGAAACAGCATGTTAAAAGGAAAAAAAAGTGGAAAATTATTAGTTGCATGAGAAAACAAACCCAAACCAATAGACAAGAACACAGGAAAAATTCAGAGTGCAGATGTAATGACATTTATTAAAAGGCATGCTACAACAACTAGAGTTAGGGAATTAGGTATAGGTATCAATTAATCAGCATATACGTGAACTTCAATGAAACAATATATTGCAGCAAAACAAATTCAAACTAACCATGCACTACACAATTAGAAAATAGGGTTTCTTTTTAATATTACATCTTTTTTGTACATATTACATTAGCAAACATAGAATCTTTTTTCTCCAATGCCAGAAGCTGCTTTACAAGTGAAAGCTGGTACTGTTGTTTATTAGAACATACAAGACAATTGATTTTTTTTTTTTTAATATGAAACCATTTTACACTTTCATTTGCCCACCAAACCCATTTTTACCAGTTTTTTGGTTTTTTTTTTTAAAGATGTTACAAATATTTACATTATTTTCTTGTGTTAGATCAACATTTTTATAATCTGAAAATGGACTTTTGTGAACAGATAATGTAAATGAAGGAATTTCAACAATTCCTAGCCATGCTTTTGAATGTCTTAGATACAATACTAAAGGTAGTCCATTAACCCCTTGCCTACAGTATTGTTTCACATTACAATCTATTTCATTTTCTTTATGGACTAAGTGTTTCATCAACAAACAGCAAGTAAAGGCCACTTCGCATTGGCTTTTCCCTTCCAAAAGGAACTTGAGAGAAAAGTTTACACATAATGTATCACTCAGACCAGTACAGTCAGTCTTTGGTCAGAAAATGAGGTGATGTTCTGATGCAAGAATTGGCTTGCTTAGTAACCCTTTTTGTCTGCTGCTGCAGTTCTAGGGTGAAATTTTGCAGAAAGCAGATAACATGCTCAAGGAAAATTGGAAAGTGCTTAAAATGGACTAAGTGGTTAGATTCCCACTCTTCATAAGCAATGCAGTTTCCAGGAACTGAAGAACGTTTACAGCAATAAGATGACATTAGTCAAATGTAAAAGCTTTCATAGCAAGTGTCAAGGGCCTTCAGCTACACAAGACCTCTTGTTGGGGTCTGCTCCAAACACAAACTACTGTCACTATTCAGGTTGGAAATACATGGATTACACTTGGATTCTGCCATTCTGTGGTATGACCCTCCAAAATACAAACCCAAACCTGCAGCAGTGAAGGCAATTTTATCATTAAATCTGTACTGAAATTGTAACTGACTGCCTGTACAGTTAGCGGACAACTTTCTATCTTAACAATATAAATATACAATTTCCAGGGGAAAGGAATAGAGTATTTATTGTACATGAAACAGCAGTAGATACGAGAAAACCCTACACACAGGACTACTGAAGGCACATAAACTTTGGTCCCGCTTTGTTATATCGCAGTCACCTCACACAGTATTAAATTGAGAATATTTCCATTATTCTCAATAATTGAGAAAGAATATCATGAATATTCTTTCATGAAATAATTCACAACTCCCAACCGTTAGGATTTTCTTTTAAAAGAACAGGTCAACAGTCTAGTACAGAGCAAACAAATCATCAGAAGACTGTTAAATATAAAAGAAAAACTGTGTAATCTGAACAGTATCTTTCCAGCACAACAGTAAAAGCTCTAAGTGTGATAGATCTGCTTTAGATAAAAACATACCAAGTCAAAAGTTAAAAGCATTTGAAGAACAGCAGCACATGCTAGTTGTATACAATGACAAGGAATAGGTCTGCATCCTTAACAGAAAAAAAAAATCTGTATCATTTTATGACTTAAAATTAACGAATCTGAGGAGGGGAAGTTGAATCTGTTGTTTTTTTTTAGCATGGTTAAATAGTTTGAATACAAACAGGTTTGCCACCTGTAAACAGAAAGTGTCATATAGGCAAGTCTCTTCAGATCCGTGGAATAACTGAAGCACAAAAAAGACATAAATCTACCTCAGAGCACAAAAAATAGAATTGACAATACCAGCAGACAACGCAACCAAGTCAAGCTAAAACTCAAATTTTCAGCTGATGTTCCAAGGCATTTAAAGAAATTCAAAGAAGCTGAAGCTTTACTATTAGGCAACATATTACAGGTCATTTGAAAAGCCACCAAGTTTCTCCTGGGTTAAGAATGCCTTACTACATTTTGAATCAATGTGCTGCCACTGAACAAAAGTAGGAGTTGGAAGTAACCCAGGGCTGATTTTTGACTTAAAAAACACAAAGGCAGAGAACTCCACCCTCATCCACTTCTGGTAGCTGTGAATTTAACCACTAGTGTTTTAGAGTACAACTTCTGTGTTACACATTACAACAGGCTTCACAAGTGACTTAAACAGAAATTATATTAAAGAAATTATAACCTATATTTAATAACTTAATACCATTGTATTGAGAGGATGAAGCCAGAATCTTTCAGGAAGTTGTGCTGTTATAGAAAAGGCAACATATTGCTAGGTGGGATAGTAGGAATATCTCTGACAGAGTGGCCGGCCCTAATCCCAGGGAGAGGTAAGATTAAGGCCTTAGAACTTCATTTTTAACATGCATCAGTGTAAGAATCTGTAAAATAAAGCCTGCTCTTCTCAGAGGTTCTGAGCTCATATATTCTTTAGAGATTCACAAACTGAGTGCAACAGTGCTTTTGCATTGATGAGTCAAGCACAGCTTAAGAATTACTCCTTTTGTCCTCATCCTTCACTAACAGTGCATTATAGTAAGATTTTTGCTTTTAATTAATTATTCAAGGCAGAATACTGAATAAGATAGGCTAGCCTTATCTAGTACCATCATTCTGTTAAGGAAACATTAAGATGTACAGCTATTTTTGAGGCTTGTCTGCACTTGTAAAAGCAGATCTCTTTAAGAGGCAGAGTCTGAGAAATACATAAATTTGCAAGTAATCTGACAAGAGTTATTTAATTAAAGAAACAATGATAACAAGAGAAAATGACAAAAAGATACAGGAGAAATATATAATAAAAGAAAAAAACCAAAAAAACTAACAGAAGATCACAAAAATCTACTATCCAGATTTTTCTTATATTAAAAATCTGTAAATCTCTGGCAGCCTAAACTGTAGGCCTCCATTTCAAACTGCAAGTAGTTCAGAGCTGACATTAGTTCTATTCTAACATTAAGACAAAATAAAAAGATTATTTCTTCTCTTTCTGTGAGAATGCTGTACATTCTCATCCCTTCAAATTTGTTTAAGTATTAGCACTAAGTATTATTAGATTACACAAATTAAAAGGGCATGTAATTTGTATGTTTGTATACATGTATAACGTGATATGGCATACACATACTAATATTATGTGTGTCAATATTCATTCTCAAATTTAAGGTTCCTTTTCTCTGCTTTAGAATTACATTCAGGTCTAATACGATTCCTCTGCCCTTTAGCTGTAGTTCATTAAAAAAGTGATAAATCATACATTATGAATAATGTCCCAATATTAACAAACCACTATGTGCAGCAACAAGGAACATTCTTAGCAACTGTCTTTAACTATTATCAGAGTGACAGCTAAAAAGGTTAAACATAGACATGAATTACAAATTAAGTATCCTGTTCATTTGCAGACAGGACCTTTTCAACAAGGCTTTTACAACATGGAACTTTGCTAAAAACATGAAGATGATATTTTTAATAGGTTGCTCTGGGAGCTCTGATTCTGCATTTCTTTCACTTCTTTTTTTACAATTCTTTTTTTGAAGTTATTTTTAAAAAAGGTTGACAGTTCACTAAATTGAATCAGTCATTTCAAAGAGGGGAAAATGGGAAGAGTACCTCAAATCCCAAAGATAACATTGTCTGTTATTCCTAAGCATTTCGCTTTCCATTAAATATAACATTCTGAAAAGTTATTTACTTGTGTTGAATAGAACCTACTATAGCTACCTACATAGTCAGCATTTTACTTACTGTCAAAAGGCCATGCTTTTGTTTATTTTAGAGACCCAGAACCTTCTTTAGTATGATTAGCTGTTGCAAGTCAAGTTACAGACATTAAAGCAAGGCAAGCTAGTACATCACTGATTTTTACAGAAGTCATTCAGAGTAACAGTCTGAAGAAGCTCACTCCAAAATACTCAGATATTTCCAGAATTATACCTTTGTTCTGGAAAGATAAGAGGAATTCTACAACTAATAAAAATTGTTAAAAAACAAAATAAATGAGTGGCAAAAAATTCTCCAGTAGTTATAAACAAGCAAATGTGATATGTCACATTTTAAAAAGTGATGTATTTTCGGTAAATTCTGAAAACAAATAGCCCTTAAAAAGAAAAAAGAACTCTTTAATGACAGAAATCAGCAATGTTCTTAACTTTCTATACAAAATCTAACCGCATCACAGCTCCAAATGGACATTCAGTATTGAACTTCTTGACAAATGAAAGACTGCTTTTCATGGTAAACTCAAGAACCTGAAAAAGAATTATTTGAAACACCATCCCTCAGGAAGTTAAACTGCAGAAACTGGAGTGGTGTTTGCTCTTTTGCCTTTATGTATAATTTTATTTTGTCTGTTTGTTTTTTGTGCATTTTTCTGGGAATAATTTTTTTTTTTTTTTTTTAGCCAAATACAGGTATCAGACAACTGTAACCAGATAAATTCAGAGAGGCCTACAGGACTCTGCTTTAAACTTAATTAATGTTTTAAACTTAATTTCCACCTCTACCTTATCTTTATACTAAAGCACCAGAGACTAGAAGTTAGAATATTACTGGGGATGGGGAGGAAACACAAAAGTAGCAGTTAGGAAAATATTTACAAGACAAAAAAAAGAATTTTAAAAGCCTGCAATACATTTTTCAAGATACTTCAGATAAAACTCAAAGCTGTTGTGTCATAAGCACACAGTAAGGCACATAATAAGAAATTAAGTAAATACACAGTAACTATATTGATACAAAAAACTCTTGAGGTTTAATTTTTCATCCCCAAAGATGACCTTACCAAAAATAACTTCTTAAAAATTCATTAAGCCATCACAGACCTGAATATTTTCTATAAGATTGTAAACATTTTATTCTTTAAAGAAATGTAAAAAACTCTTTGAAATCAGGACTATTTTCTCCTCTTATTTTCTTCAAAATACTATTACACAATACCACTTCATAGTAAAATAACACAGACTTCCATTCCAGGATGAAGTCAAGCTAAGACACTAATGTTACAGCTTGGAGAAACTTGTCAAACATCTTTTACTCCACTAAGAAAAGGCACTGCCTTTCCTCTAATAATTTAACCCATATGAACAGCACAACATTTATGTTTTAAAAAAGCTATAGTAAGGATTTGCCAAAGTGTGAACACACACTCTAGTAACATAAATACTGTTCAGAGGGCATTTGCAATCAGCGCTTGGTTTTTTCTTCAAGAAAGCCAAGTGCTATTTCACATTCAAATCAGTGTTTAATATGGGTAGAGTGGATTCACCATTTTGTTAGAAACATTCTCAGTTTGGTATATTGAAAAAGCACTCTAAAATATTTCATAAGGCTAATTTGAAACAAAAATTCAAAATATATTCTCAAAAGTAAAATTAAAATAGGAAACTTGATGATAAATATTTCTATAGAAATTTAATCTTTTTATTGATGAATAAGATTTGATCATATACTGGCAGCTGAAATCAGAAAAGATTATCCCCTAATTCTTTGCTGTGTGTATGAACGAGATTTTTCTTTTAAGAGCAGAATTGGTCACAGCTACTTCAGTCTCTACTTGATGAGAGTAAGAAAACTGCAATGCAGTTTTAAAAGGAATGTTTGCAGAAAAGTCAAATTGTAGATCTTGAGAAGGAAACTCGGAGGTGATGATTTTCTCCTAGGTCATAATCGTGAAGTTCAATGAGAGCATGAACTGCTTCTTCCACAGAGCCCAGCTGGATAAGAGCCATTTTGCAATCTCTCCTGAAGAACGACAAATAACATTATTAATCAGAATCAAATTGTCATTGTAGTAATCAACACACAAAAAAGTGATGCAAATATTTTTTTAGCCACATCATATACAGCTCTTCCTACACAAAATGCAGGCGCAGTGACAGAAATAGATTTAGTCATACACCTCATAAAACAGGGAAACAACAGAACTGAATTTTACTGATTGATAATCTACAGCCATGCCATTCTTCCATAACACTGTATTAAAAAAAAAAAAAAAACACACACCATCCAAATATGCCTAAAACCCTCTGAAAAACACTGGTATTGTCTTTCTATATGAGATTCTAGCAGGTGTGATCATGCACAAATAATATAGCAAAGATATCTTAATGAATGCTAGAACAGATTCATTGTAATCGTTTACTTGACATTTTACACGTACAAATCTTGTACATCTTTTCAAAGAAGTTAGAGTTACATTCACTTTCCTAAAATTTACCTACTTTGAACACGTGGAATTTATCAAAAGGTCAAATATTTTCCATTTAGTTATGCTAGCATCATATTTTCATTTAATCACTTAAAATTTTAAGATTAGAATTAGCATAAGCATTGTCACAAGCTGTTAAGCTTTTGCCTATAGATAGTGTTATACACAAATGGAATTTCTCCAAAAAGCAGTTAGCCATCTTTCAGGATGAAAGATTTCACAGCATTTTTAAATGAGAACTTACTGGAAAAATCTGAAGGCTTTCACAGTAGATCCAGTACGTGCAAAAAGACTCTTAAGGTCATCAAAAGAAACAGAAGTCCTATTTAAAAACAAACAAAACAAATCAAAATCTTCTCAACCTGTAAAAGAGCACAGTCTACAGCATAGTATCAAACCACGAGTTCTTATTGCTAAATTAAATTTAACCATCTAATAGTACTCCCACTAACACAAGCCCAGCTCAAATATCTTAGCTTTGACTCTGATTTAGCACTGCAGTGTGCTACAAAAAATATTTCAGATACAATCCATTGCTTTTCATCCTCTCCCATTCCTGCCTTGGATATATTCAGAAAGCGTAAAGATTAACTGGTAGCTTCTGAAATATTTTTGTCTTTTAATTACTGTTAGAGCACTTCATATATCTTCTATTTTGAAAGTCTATTTTACTCCAAGTGTCATCTCAGAGGTGTCCTATGTCTTTTTTTATTATTATTATTTGAACAAAATTCTGTAGTTTTCTCCCTTTTTTTTTTTTTCCTCTGAATAATTGGAGAACTAAAGAACCCTGTGCAAACGTATGTTGAGCTATCACTTCACTGTTGGCAACATTCTAGCAAGGAAAAAAGGTTGCATCAGTTTTAGAGAACATGCTTCTTAATTACTTTTTCTTAATAACTCTTTTTTTGTAAGCTTTCTGAATGACTGTTAAGACCATTCTTTAAACAGTACTAGAATGATTAAAAACTGTATCAACATTACATAACAATGTTAATCTTAAATTTGATGCAGTGTAACTCTCAAAAAGCAATGTCTTTAATATTCCATGAAAATTTATAACACAGAACTTCAGATGTGAAAAAAATTCATTTTTTCAAGAAAATATATATTAAAACTTGTCAAGAAGAGCAGTGATTTTCAATCCATTATCCTCTTCATTAACAATAAAAACAGAGGCAGTTAAACAATTTGCTTATTGTTAATTATACAGCAAAATGACCCATTTTGAGGAAGACACAGAAGATCAAGAAAATTTACAGCTTATACCACTTAGATTTTGTAGCTTTAAGAGTACAACCCAAGAAACATTCTCTTTCCACAAAGATCATACACATTGGTACTCACGGGATGTTGGAGAGATGTAGGGTGGCAGATGGAGGAAAGATGTTCTGGAAGTTCTTAGAGCCAGGCTTCTTAAAGCGATGTAATGGGCTATTGCTGTAGTCCTTTGTCAGACCATTGTCATCTTCTCCTTCACGAGGGAGTTGAATATTCTGATGTTTTGAAAGAGTTGCACGGATGAATTTCCCATAAAGTTTCTGTCCATTCAAATTGCTGATAGCTAACCAATGGAAATATCATTTGGACACAAAAACAGATGATCGAAGAGGAATTAAAAATGGTTCTTTAGATACTGCTCTTGCCTTCTATTTAGTGTCAGATTTCATGTCCTCAATCTAAACAGCAAGCTCCATCTCTACAAAGTGGGCTAAGTTTTTTTCCCTTCATATCATTACAATTTAACAAGTGCGAGTCTAAATGCAATGGAAATAAAAATGGCATTATTCTTAAATAGCTAGAAATAAGATAAGATATATGAAAAATGTATGACTTAGTATGATAAACTACTGGAAAATTGTACAAATTTTTAATAGAAACATTTATTAGATTAAGACTTGCAGGGTTGTTTTTAAGCCACTACAGGAAAACCATTTGCTTACATGAAAGCAAGCTAATCAATGTCAACATTTGAAAGCAAAAGTTCATATATAGAAGAGTTCACAATGATGGATTTAATTAGGTGAATATAGCCACCGACAGAAGGCAGATTCCTGAGCTTTATCATATTCATGATAGTTAGGACCATAACTGCCTTTAAAATCAGTACCTATTTGAGCCTGGGTTGCATCTGCCATCTGAACCAAAGCATTTTCTTTATTCTTAAACATGATCTTCACACGAAGCACATCACCATAGGCACCTATGAAAATCCAGAAAGAAAATTTGTATTACTACAAAAAGCACATGTGCAAGTCTGTTGCTTTTCACTAAAATTAAGAATAATCATCTCATTAAACAGCTTGGTTAGAACATTAATATGAAAGATACTATTGTATATTATTTTTTGAGGCTCAGAAATAGGGGAAAAAACACATCAACAGGTAGGATCTCAGTGATAAAATTGCATGTTTATGTTCAGCTGTCAAGTAGTGCAAGTGTTAAAAGTCCTCTCAACAGAGGAGTATTAAAACATTACCATGTCAATATTCTTCCCTGCAAATAACAAATATGCCATTTCTGTAGCCCACTTCCTCCAAGACAACCTTTGCTTTTCCATCTTACTTTGCTTTGCCATTCTTTGTAGTGAAGAAACCTGAGCATACAGTGAAATTTTTCTGAAACTCAACAATTCTGTCTTTTTGGTACCTGTGTCTTACAGACACTGACTCAAAAGACCATCATTTAAAACCAGCACATTCTCTTGTGCATTTTCTGGACAAAACCAGAAAAACTGAAGTTTAATTAATCACCATTTGCTACTTAAATAAAAAGAACTCTAGCTCTGTAGTTTCTAAAGGTATATTTGACATATCTTACCAAATAGGATGAAAAGTCCATGTGGTGTGATGGCCTGTTTAAATGATAAAATGAGTGTATTATTTTTAAAGCCAGGCAAATAAAGAAACCTAGACCTTAAGCACATGGTAAAACTAAAAGAATGGGAGAGATTCTAAGTACAAATACCATCAAACCATTTCACCAAAAGTATTTTGCATCAGCAACTAGGGCATATTCATTCTTGTTAATACATATTTATTATGCACATATCAAATACATAAACAGGCTAACACTTCAGCTCATGCATTTTCACCACTCAAAACTGAGAGTCTGTCATGCTGGAGAGATTATTAATATGTTAAGTGGCTTAATTACTTGAAATTATTCTAAGCTTTCTAAGACAGCATTTCATACACTGATAAATCAAAGCAATTTGCTACGCTAAAGGTAGAAAAGAGCATTCAATAAGTCATTTGTTTTTTCTGAACTGCAAATACCACCTAAAAAACTAGAACTTGTTGCTGCAACATGTATTTGCTTTGTTTTAAATTTTGTCCCTGTGACCATACGTTACTAATATGCACACTATTTAATTGTTTATACATGAAGCACATATGGAGTGATAATTAAATTTTGTCTTATTAAAAGCTTTGAAAAGAAAGCCTGAAATAAGTAATTTTTCTTCAGGATTTAATGAAAAATCTCTGATGTACAAAGTTCCCCAGTCACCAAAGAAGAGAATTTGCACTCTAATCAACCCAAACTTTATTCAGCTGAGACAAGAGTTTTGCCTGTAGTGAGCACTAAAAATTTATGTTGTATTATGCATTGCAGTATAAAGATCTAAATGGTAACTTCTTAGATAGAATTAATATTAAGTAAAGCAGCAAACTCCTAAAAAAAGATTTGATCTGTTTCACATATCCTTACTCTGAAAAAGCACAGCCTCTTGCGGCTCAGAGAATCATCTTAAATAATTATTTGTACAAAGCTCATCAGAAATCTGTAATTACTTGATAAGATACACTGACAAAACACAGTGTAATTGCTTTGTCTTACAATCTGAATCTATAGCTTTTTTATGGTTAATGTGAAATTTAATTATTAGTAAGAAAAAAGTATGAAATACAGCAATTACTTAAAAATTAAAGGAATTGGTAAACAGACTTCTAAGCTTTTGAAATATGAACGACTTCCATTTTGACAATAACTCTTAATTTCATTTATGGTTAAGTGTATCCAATGAGAGCATAAAACAAGAGTTTTACATTACTTTAGTAGACTTGCTTATCAGCAGTTAAGTAAAACTCTATATTATGTTATAGCCTCTCTAAAGCTTACTAAGAGATGTAGATTGCTTCTAGTTAAGTATAGATTATTACGTAAAGTTTGAGTAACAAGTGCAAGGCTATAAAACAAACCACTGTAAAAAGTAACTACCCAAGTTGTCCTTTTGCAGTTTTATTGTGAATGCATAGGAGAAAAAAACAATTACGTGGTACTATGAAAAGTGAATGTACATATTTATTGACGTTAAAAAATGGATTTATAGATATGCCATACCAAGGGACACCCATGCCCCTCCTCTTCAGTCTGAGAAAGCTTACCAAACTGGAATCACAGAATATCCTGAGTTGGATCCAGTGGTCCTTGGGGGTCCCTTCCAACCCCAGGCTCCACACAGCACCACACAAACCCAAATCCTATGTGTGAGAGCAGTGCCCTAATGCTCCCTGAGCTCCAGCAGCTCAGGGCTGTGCCCCTGCCCTGGGGAGTTTGCCATGCCCACCACCGTCTGCGTCACAGCCTTTCCCTGACCTCCTCTGACACAGCTCATGTGAGGAGCTGCAGCTGCATAAGGCCTTCCCTCCTCTGCTCTGGGATGAAAGACAAGGAATATTCTACCAATGTTTTAAAAAAAAGTAACTTGTCATGGTTTCATCTTTATTTCTCTTCCCTCCGGTTTCTCTGACTTCTCATGTATCAAATGAAAAATTCTTTAGTTTTTCTAATGATAAAATGGCATCTTAAGAACTGTAATATCACTGAGGAATCAAAGAGTTTAGCCCTACTCTGCATGTGTAACCTCAGACAGTTCACTAATTACAAACTCACCATTACGTTACTAACCTATTTTTTTTCCTGAAGTAAATTGTGCTTAGAACCTTTTCACTGCTGAACAGAATTTTTAAGCTTTATCAGTAATGGAAATTTGCTCAAACAAAAACAGAGATCCTAGAATCATGGAATCACCTAGGTTGGTAAAGACCTCTAATATCACCCAGTCCAACCCTTCATCTATCACCAACATTTTCCCAGTAGACAATGTCCCTCAGTAACACATCTAAGTGTTTCTTGGACACCTCCTGGGTCGGTGACCCCACCGCCTCTCTGGGCAGCCCGTTCCAGCACCTGACCACTCTTTCGGAGAAGAATTTTTTTGTAACATCCAACCTGAATATCCCTTGGTGCAACTTGAGGCCATTCCCTCTAGTCTTATCACTAGTTACATGGGAGAAGAGGCTAACCCCCCACCTTGCCATAACCCCCCTTTAGGTATTTGTAGAAAGTGATATGGTCTCACCTGAGCTTCCTCTTCTCCAGACTGAACAATCACAGTTCCCTCAGCTGCTCCTCATAAGGCCAGTGCTCCAGACCCCTCACAGCTTTCTTTCCCTTCTCTGGAAACACTCCAGGGCCTCAATGTCTTTCTTGCAGTGAAAAGTCCAAAACTGAATACAATATTCAGTGCAGCATCGCTAATACTGAGTACAGAGGGATGATCAGTTCCTTGCTCCTGCTGGCAACACTATTTCTGCTACGAGCCAGGATGCCATTGGCCTTCTTGGCCACCTGGGCACACTGCTGGCTCATGTTCAGCCGAACATCAACCAATACCCCCAGGTCCATTTCTTCTACACAGCCTTCCAGCCACTCTGCCTCAAGCATGTAGCATTGCCTGGAGTTGTTGTCGCCAAAGAACAAGACTCAGCATTTGGTCTTGCTGAACTTCATCCTACTGGCCAAGTAGGATGCTAGCTAGCATGCTCAGATCTCTATGTAGGGCCTTCCCACCCCCAGGCAGATTGATACTTCCTGTCAACATGGTGTCATCTGCAAATTTACTGAGCGTGCATTCAGTGCCCTCATCCAGATCATCAATAATAATATTGGAGAGGACAGGCCCCAGAACCAACCTTTGGAGAACACTGCTCGTGACAAGTCACCAGCTGGATTTAATTCCATTCACCACCACTCTCTGGGCCCAGCTCTCCAGCCAGTTTTTTTTACCCAGCAAAGAGTGTACCTGTCCAATGCATGGGCTGCCAGCTTCCCCAGAAGAATACTGTGGGAGACAGTGTCAAAGGCTTTCCTGAAATCTACACACACTATGTCAACAGCCTTTCCTTCATCCACCAGGCAGGTCACTTCATCACAGGAGATCAGATTGGTCAAGCAGAACCTGCCTTAGGTGAACCCATGCTGGCTGGGCCTGATCTCCAGGTTGTCCTGCACATGCCGTGTGATCTCCCTCAAGATGATCTGCTCCATAAGTAATGCACAGATTTTGGTATTATCAGCATAGAATTTTGCTCATTTGTTGCTTCAACTACAGTTAATTTGCAGTAAGGATTCTGGCAGCTGGTACAAGTAGTCACTTGCATCAATACTACTGATCAAACCTACCTCAGGGTTGAGGTTGCTGACCAGTAAAACAGAATTTCCTTGAACACCTGGATTACTCATCTGTACAGATGTCACAGATGTGGTGACTGCAAGAAAAGAAAGTACTCCAGGTAGAGGTGAAATTGAAAGATCTGAAATTGTACTTACAGCTTCACTTGAGACATTTTAGAAGACAAAAGCAGACTAGGCTTTTCAAAAAATTTGATCGTCAATAAAAATAATGTTTGGAAGTTAAGGTATTTCCTAGTATCTGATTAATAAAGCAAAATGCACTTCCCTTCTAATGATAAAGTAATATTGAGCCACAGCAACAGATCCACTAAAAAGGGGATACAAATCGCAGCCCAGAGTTTATCCTGTGCTAGAAAGAAAAAGATTGCTATGTTTAGAAGACTACTTACTTCTCATTTTATATTTAGAAAAGAGACTTCCCCTTTTACCTTTGAATGTCAAAGAGAACTTTCAATTCTTAGAAAAATAGATACTTAGAATTTCTTCTCTTGCAGCTAATCTTTTTCAAAGCATTACATTTCTTCATTTATTAAATTAAAAATTATATCAACATAAGTTTTTTATTACGGCAAGAAATTTTACTGAGTGCTATGATACACAAAGAGAACCAGAATGACTAAAATGTGTTCTGACTGCTACACTTAAAACACACCACTTTGAAGCCAGGTGTATTTGATAGACTGCTAGCCCCAGATGCAATGCAAGCACTGATGGCTTTAGGTTTTTTGTCTGTTTGTTTGGTGCATGCATGTTTGGTTCTTTGCTTGCCTTTTTTTTTTTTTTTTTTTTTTAAATTGAAGATAGAACATTACCAGCACCTTGAGGAATGTATGCAAATGGGCCAAATCCACCAGTCGCTACATGTGGTTGGAAGATGATACCTTCGGACCCTAGTAATAGAAGACATCTAATTAAAACAGAGGCTTTGACATTCCTGGAAAACAGAAGAGACTTGAGGAATGAGACAGCTGCCAGCGCTGCTATTCTCACTTTCATCTGTGATTACATCTTCTATAAATGTTTGAATAAAAATAAAAAAACCCTTCTAATTGAAATCCACATTTCTGTGTTTACATTTTTTAGTCACTTCTTAAGTCTAACATTACATGTCTCTCAGTGTCCCTCTCTAAAATGCAATTTCGACAAATTTGACAATGAAAGCCCAGCATAGATTAGTATTTATTGAAGACATCTGCGGTGCAGTGTTTGCTAAGTATATTTTTTGTTAATAAAACTGAAATACATTCTAGAAATTTTCTGGAAGTAAATCATGCAATGTTCTACAATGATGAGATATCACTATTTCCTAGATATTTGTGCGGAAGTATGGGCTAAATAATTAAACAACCAAACCAGTCTGAGTTTCTGAATTATAGTAGCTATTAAAGTATATTTTTCTTTTCAAGCAGAAGCACCTTTCTAGTATAAATACATCAAAAAACCAGCAGCTGCTAGTTTTACAACTGCTAAATAGACTTGTGTAGAAAGATCTTGCTTCAAAGGTGACTCACTGGCTTTCATGCTACTATGTGGAGTTAAGCACTACCTTGGGTAACAAAATTGTCTTCGATGCAAGCTTGATTTCTGGATTCTTTCATATGTTAGCGCTCTAGACTATTGGATTTTTATTTTAACAAATCAGGACACACATAATCAGTACATGAAACCTACAAATCTGCAGTGTTTTAGTACTCAAACTTTCATCACTGACTAAAAGTAAGCTATGCTCACTAACAAATGGTCGATACAAATAATACAGCACCATATGAAGCATCAGTTATGAATCACAATAACAAAAAATGAAAGAGACACCGTAGATCAAGTACTCATAAATATTGCATAATGTTACACCTCCTCTTATCTGTAGTGTCAAAGCACCTTTAATACAAACAATGGAATACATTCATCAGACCAAAGCAAGTCATTGTGTTCTTCATAATACACCAGTGTGTGCATTATGCTGACAAGTTCTGGCAATAAAGATATGAATAAAGATACGAATCACTTATTCACAGTCCAAGAATGATAATGGAAATGTTAATGAAGAGATAAAGAGCTTTCATTCTGCCAATGAGATCTGCATGTTGCACACTGATACCAAAATCATACATGTAAAAGTAGTCAAACAGAACTAATGCAGAAAGATCTGGAACAATTTGATGCATGTTTTATTTGTAAAGTCATTTGCTTTACAGCTGGCAGGTAGCTTTCAAAGCATACTCATTCAGGCATTTCTGCCCATGCTGAATGGGTGAGGAAGATTTTAAAATTCAAAACATTCATAAAATCTGCCTTTTTTTTTTTTTTTTTTACTGTGCAGTATCTCAAAAATTTTAGTTTTACTATTAGGATACCTTCAAGTCTACAGTAGAATTGGATGCATTATTCTGATACCTGCTTCATTTTAAAATTATAGAATGGCTTGGATAGTTCTCCATCAAACATGCCTGTACAGTAATAAAACAGGAAGCATAAGTACTGACAAGACTCCCAATGTCTTTTCATCACATAATTCAGCCAAGTGCTATCTGAACACACGTATGGCAGCATAATACATAAATCTGTTTGATGATTTGCACTTATTATCAAAGTTGAATAAACAAGCATGCATGTGCTGTTTATGCCAAAAAGGCTTCTCCAAAGTCTCTTCAAGCAGATATGCTTTCTCTATGCAATGGAAGTGACTTTCAAAATTTACTAAAGGAATTACTAAAGTTCTCTTTCAGAAGTAGTATTATTTGTATCAACCATTCGTTAGTGAGCATAACTTACTTTTAGTCAGTGATGAAAGTTTTAGTACTCAAACACCGCAGATTTGTAGGTTTCATGTACTGATTATGTGTGTCCCAATTTGGGAAAATAAAAAGCCAACAGTCTAGATCGCTTTTAGAAGGCAACTATAAAATATAATTGTAATATTTGTGTATTTCTTATAGCTTAAGTAAAAGCAAACAGCAAGCAGTCATCCTAAAATAGCAGCAAACAAGAGCTAGCATACTTTAAAACATTTACTTTCAAGTAGCTTTAGGGAATTGGTCAATTTTGAATGGCTGCCATTGACTTTTCTGATATGCAATGTTTATTATATTGCCTTACACGAATGATATAATTCCACATCACTCTAAAAATACAGCTTTTTGATAATGCTTTTAGTTTGCCCACCTGAATATACTCTGATAACTGTTTATCTGAACAAGGTTTCAGATACTCATTTATGTCTGTCTAATAGGATTTTCTGCTTTCCACACAAACTTTACTGAATCTAACAATTAGAATTATATATAAAATATTCTTTTGTTTGTTTGTTTTTAACAGAATCTATTATACAGCCAGAGAATAAAACTCCCAAGAGTATGCAAAGTAAAAAGCATAATGATCATAATGCATATTTATCACAAAATAAGGGCTTCTTACCAAAGGCAGCAATTATGGCTGGATCCAGGGGTAGTTGGACATCAGAAGCTGGAAGGTCAAAGCGAGTGAAATCTCTGCTTTTCTCATTGTTGTACTTCACCTTAAGGCTTGTTAACTTGGAGAAATCAATATGTAGAGTGCAGCATGCATTGTAGATATTTCGGCCATCCAGAGCCTGGAAACAAATAGTTAAGTTTTCAGATACAAAACATTTTGTTACAAACCTCCCTCCTAAGTTCATTTTTATCTGTATCAAAAAAGAGAAAAAAGTACAAGTACCACTAGATAAATATTCTGTGCCTTTCATCTCAAAGTTGAGTATAAAGGCAACCCTTTTGGTCTAGACCCATTCCAGACAGTTCAAAAGGAGAATGCACCAGTGGTGCCTTTGTGATAACATTTTTAAGAAAGAGTAAAAAAAACAAAACTGCACATCAGCAGAGGGAGGAGCAGGAAAGATGAGAGAATCAAGGTCAGTACAGGAGGAGGGCCCTAATGTGCTCCATGCGTGGAGCAGCAGCTCCCTGCAGCTCAGAAGAGGCCCACAGCAGAGCAGGCAGCAGCCTGTAGGCACTGCATAGAGCAGATCTCCCCATGCAGTTGTGGAGAAGCCCCTGGTGCAGCAGTGGATGTGGCCTGGAGAGGTACAGCCTATGGTAGAACTCACACCCCTGCAGAAGCAGGCCTGGATTGGAGCTGTAGCCTATGGAAAAGAACCCAGAGTGGAGCAGGAGCTGCATGCAGCCCACAGGGAAACCAGTCTGTTCCTGAATGACTACATGCCATCCTGGAGCAATTCTTGATGAACTACATCCTGTGGAAAGGGGCTACACATGCAGCCTTTATGAAGAACCATATTCCACAGGAGAGACCCCACACTGTAGCCAGGGGAAAAGCGTGGAGAGGAAGTAGCAGTACAGACTAAGTGCTATGGACTGACCACAAATCCCATTTTGCACACACTTGTACTGCTTACAGAAGGAGGAAGTAGTAGAAGAGACGGGAATGAAACAGAACATGAAAAGAAGAGCTGTGAGAGGAAGGTGTGTTTCTAGTTTTGTTTTTAGTTCTCACTATCCATGTCAACGTGAAATAAATTTATCTTCCTCAAGTTGAATCTATTTTACCCATGATGGTAACTGGCAAGTGATCTCATTCTTATCTCAACTCACAAGCTTTTCATCTTATTTTCTTCCTGTCTTGCTGAGGAGTGAACTGACAGAGCAGCTTGGTGGGCAACTGGCAACCCTTGAGGGTTAACCCACTCTTCAGATTAATCCTCACCAAAAAGAGTTTAGTTAGTTTGACACAGAAAAGACATTGTCACAACCACAGCTACCATCAGTCTTCCCTACCAACAGCTCTAAACTTGATTTGGTAGAACCATGCTGATTTCTGTCTGTGTGCTATACACTTTCTTACATTTGATGGTAGAGTACTATTCTAATGAGGGTTGTCAAAGTTATTCTAGTGCAGTAAGAGAGTTAGAATGAAAAGAAATCAAAGTTAATAAGCAAGCTATCAGTAACATTATACATAATGGCCATCTTACCTGTGTGAGGAAAACAGAGTGAGTGAGTACATTACACTTACCATTTTGGCATAATATGCATTCACTGGCTCAGCAAATTGGATCAAAGCTTGAAACTGATTATTCCTTGTAAAGGTGACAATCTTCAAGACAAATCCAAACCTAGAGAAAATCTGAGAAGAAAGAAACTTTTAAAAAAATGGACTTTAAAAAAAAAAGAATTCATTCCCTGATTAAAAAAAAGCCTACATTTTAATACTTAATATAAATTTTCTGAGACATACGTTTTGTAAGAGCTGAACACAAGTAAATTGCTATCAGAATTTGTTTCAGGTTAAAAAAAAAGAATATATAAAAAATGGAGAAGAAGGATAAAATTCCTCTAAAGAATTAGTAATGACTAATTCTATCAACTAATAACAATGATTAAAAAAGATAAGATCAGCCTAAGGAGGCTTATGTCCCATGTCAAAGCTGAGTTACGAGAAATGGACTTTCACAAGTCAGTTAGATAGGAACTGCAAACTATCAAGATAGGTACCCTTACAGCCTATATCTCAAGCAATTTCTGCAAACTGATGATCAAACATCTCTCCAGTAAGTAATTTGTAGATACATTAACAACATAGATCCGCTGTCTTAAGTGGAAGACAAAGAAGGAAAGAAGCAAGACAAGCACTCGCTTGAGACCCATCCTTTTATCGATTTATAAATGTATCAATTTATAATTGAGTGGTGTTTGATTTACTCCAAATGTAGGCATTGTAGAAAAGTTTTTAAAGGCTGAAATTTTGTATATATATATATATATACACAATATATATATATATACAAACTACATTCAGAATGAGAGCATGTAATACATGAAACACTCGTGACATGATGACAGATTCTGGGGCACTCATGGAGAAAATGTAGCGAGGTTAAGACATATCATGTAAGTGCAAATAAATGATTACAGAAGTAAAAGTGAAAGAGGAAAAGTGAGTTTTGAAAGTGCCAATAGATTTAGAACAAAGTTCCAAAGCAACAAGAAGCATCACAGCAGTCAGGAAAGCAGAACCCTTTAGAAAAGTATTAATTCTAGAAGGGAAAGATACACAAGAGATAAGGACAAGCATCTCTTTCCAGCCTATCAGCCTTACAGTCATGGAGTCACTGTTCTAAAACTTCATGCTCAGTTTTTCAGGATTTTATGCTACAGTCATCATTTCCTGGTAGAAGACAGAACAGAAACTTTTTTTCAAAGCAATTTAAAGTTAGCTATCAAGTTCCTGTTCACAAAATGCTCCCCCTTAAGAAAGGTCTAAGTGCAGTTTCTAAATGTATGCTTCCATGCAGATTTCCACAAAAACAAATAGACATATTAAGATATACGTGTTTGTTTCTAAACCTAAACATCAGTTTTGTTTCTACAAATATAACACCAAGTATTCTGTTTCTTACAATAGATATTTTAAGGTAGATTGTGAATAAACAAATAAAAAAACAAATACTATATGTAAACAGATGTCAGTCTGCCTATAAGTATATGATACTACACTTATCAGTGAAATTCTCTCATTTCCATTAACCTTCCACACTTGCAAAGTTATGTTTCTTTGCAGCACTGTAGCTCTCTACCATGCACAAAGTGCTGCTTTAACTAGAGGACTGTCCCTTATTATGAACTCCAATTAAGCTCCCTTTTCAAGCGTTACTTGATTTTCTAGACCTATTGCAAAAATAGTTAACTGAGGGTTACTGGACAACTCAAACACTGAAAAATACAACTTTGCTTCACAAAAGTAAACATTAGTCAGATTGAAGTAATATAATATGAATCCCTTCTTCCACTATCTGCTTTGTCAATATCAACAAAAAAAACCCCAAGAGCAATAACAAAAAGCACACAAGGTTAGATCTAGGAGTTGCTGTTGCTATGCACTGATACTTAGCTAATAGATTATTCTGTACAAGCTAATCATTTTAAACAGTTGACATACAACTTGTATGATTTATTGAGTAAAAAACACCTGAAGATATAAACAAAAGTTTAGATCACAAAGATTTTGACTTCTAAGTGACAGCTAATAGCATACAAATTAATCCATAATTGTTGGGAGGATAGAGATAAAGAGAAAAAATTAATATAAGGAAACAAGAGGAAAAAGCAAGTGTTGATAATAAGCATCTGAGACACTAAGTAGAGCAGCAAAAATATCTTTGTCCAGACTGCAGCTTCTTGTAAAAGATTGCTAATCATTTTAAATCATATTAACTCAGGAAAATCATATTAGGGGCATGTTTTCTGTCGCAAAGATTTACAGTATTTATAAAAGCTTCAAGTATGAAATTCTTTGCAATACCTGAAAGAAAAATATTGACAAATCCTCAATAATTACAAGCAGAAATTACGGTAATGTCTTTCATAGCTATAGTCTACTACTATAGTTCTCAGTGAGTAAACAAAGTGACATTTTAAGAGCTTATGATAATTTAAAATATTTGCCCAACCAACTATATTTTCATGTAACATCCCTTGTACCAAACTTCAAAAGTGATTTTAAAATGCTAAAGTATAATAAAATGCTAAAATATAACACAAACTTCAAAAAGTTACTGAACATAAGGAGTAGTAAAATAAGGCAAGAATTCACTTGTTCCTAGGCACAAATTCAAAGTAACCATTTGAGTTTATTATTCCTTCCACAGAACTCTTGCTACGATTTTAACTAAGTTAAAGAACTACAAACCAGAGAAGAAACAAACAAAACCACCCAACCAAAGCAGAAAAAAAATCATGAAAATTCAACTAGAAAAGCCCTGTTTAATTGGATTTTTTTGGAGTAAAACCAATTTAAGCCTAGATCTCTAAATTACAACAAATAATGTTGGAAGTGACAGTGCTTATTCAAGCTGAGTAATGCACAACTGAGGATCCATAGGTACTTAAAAAAAAAAAAAAAGCTCTATTTATAGTGGCAACATAGAAACAGATTTTACTGTTTGTTTTACCAATTCTTATTACCTGATACAGCACTTCTAAAGTGACAGGGTAGAAAAGATTTTCAATAATAATTCGAAGAACAGAACTGTGACTTGGAGAGACCCCAGCTTCAGGAGCAAGAGTACTTGTAATAGCCACGTTTCCACACTGCACAGTATTCACAGCTTGCAGCGCAGCTTGAACATTCTGAAATCACAACACAGCAGAAACCACAATTAACTTACACACATGCAAACTATTTGTGTCTAAATAATGATCTCTTACAAAACAAAGATGTACAATGCAGTCAATGTGCAGCATTTAAAAGCCGTATTTCCTCTTTGTAAATATCGATAGAAATACAACATGGTAAGGGATTTTCAACCAGTCAGTAAAGCACAAACTGCTTGGTTTGCTTTATTAGGATTTGATTTTGTCCAGGAACTGAGTTTTGGCAAACACAAGCTTAAAAGGTGCACATCCTGTTCTTTTTCTTCCCAGAACCAAACTATGAGCCACAAAATATAGCATCTTTAAACTCACTTCTCAAACCACCTCACTGGAATTTGAGAAGTCTTTTTGACGGGGCTTTTCTCAAAAAGACCTTTAGATTGCTTCTTGGATAGCCTTGCAGAGAGACATTCCTTTCCAAACATGGCGTTGTGACTTGAAGCCATATCTCAGTAACACTCTTCTCTTCGAGGATGGACTAAACATGACACAAGGTGTGGATGTTACCTATTTTCTTCTAAGCTTCCAGAATAAACTGTCCCTCAGAACTGAGCCTAGACACTAAGACATCTGTAAATTAATGCTCAGTTGCTAAGCTCTCTAAAATTTAAATTAAAAAAAAAAAAAAAAACTCAAATGAAAGGGTCATAATTGAATATATATACATATAAATAAATTCAAAAAGTAGGCAATATTGTTTTTGTAGAAGGAGAAAAAATATTCCCTCATGTACGGAACTGAAAATGATAAGTAGTCTTATTTGCAAACATGTCATTTTTTTCTGAGGCTGTTACCTTCACCATACCCTTGAATCGTGTTGCCTTATTTATTTGTTATTGCAGATAACAAACCAATCCAGCAAAGAGACAAACGACACTTACCAGACTGACAAGTTAGCAAGATTCCAGTACCTTTCATGTTAGCACAAGTTAAAGATGAGCACTGATTTTTGCTGTAATCCCTATACGCAGTATTAGTGCAGAAAATAGAAACTGTTACCCAACCAACCACATTCCAGAACTTATTTAAGATACACTTATCATTAAGAAAACACAATGTAAAAATGAAGCCCTGTTTCTGTGGGAGGCCTGCTACTATTTTACTGACACATTAACAGGCAAAAAGAAAAAGTCAGTGAAAAGGGTTTACTGTAGAAGATGTGGTTATTTTCTTCAGGTCCTGAAGCTACTGAAATTATCTTCTAATATTAGAACTTACGAATGAAAATAGTTCTTTCAAAACATGCTATAAGTAGTATTTTTAAGTCATGCAGAACATAAAGGCCACAGAAGAAAATGTCTCAGTATCTCAAGCTAATACAAGTCAGAGGCTTCAAAAAAGAAAAAAAGAAAAAATAATCAAAGCAGTAATAACACTTCAAAAATAAAATCTTTAGAAGATAGACTTCACAACATATAAAAAAAATGTAATCCAGGCAAACTGACATGACTTCTTCTGAAGACAGCAAAAGTAGCAATCTTTTGGACCTACAAACCACTGAATCAGTTTGCTTTTGCCATTGTTCAGAAGTACATAGCAAGATTTCTTCTTCATGCATCTCTCACCCTCATTTCTCTAAGCAAGATTAGGGAGAGAAAACATGTCAGACTAGAGCAGGAAGGAGCAGAGAAAAAGAAATACAAATAGAGAATGGAAGCTGTGGTCTTTCTCCTGTACTGAATGGGAAGGGGAAGAGGTAACAGCAGTGAAGGGAGCAGAAGTGAAAGGAAAGGCCTTCAGGTAGAGATGGTTTTTGGGTTGTGTTGGGTTTTGGTTTTGTGGTGTGTTTGTTTTTTGTTCTTTTTCTTCTTACTATCTTACGCTATTTTCAAAGGGCAAAAAATTAAGTTTATCTTCCTCAAATCAAATCCTCTTAATCTATGATGGCAGCAGGTGAGCAATACCCCTGTCATTATCACAACCTATGAGTTTCATCATTGTATTTCTTTCCATTGTGTTCTGCTGCGGATGGAGTGAGCACAGCATGGTGTTCACCTAACAGACATTCAAGATTTACACATTGCAGGCATAAAAATGTGCATTTGAAATCACAGTATCATGGTTACTTTAACAATAATGAAGTTGATGACAAGTTCTAGTAAGCTGAGATTTCAAGTGCAGTTATTTAAGGTGTAATACACTGATCATAGAGATCACTACTACTGAGACAATCCCGCTACATTTTTTCTCTGAATTCTAAAGTATTCAGCATATTACCCCAGAAAACTGTTCAGTCTTTAACTTCCAAGTTATGAGGTGAATCACTCAGAAGAATCCAGGAAGCACCAAAGCTATAAAGCAGAGAGTAGAACATACAGATGGAAGCAGAAGAAACAACATCCAAGACTAGCTCATTTTGACAGTAAAATGCTGCTAGGCGAGTTCAATTATTCACAGAATTGCTACATCAAGAATATCTCAAGCTCCTTCAGTTTTTAATACTGCTAATTAACAAATGCTCATTAAAAGAAAGTATTATTAATGTCAGATTTCTACTAGAAACCTAGTCCAGAAGTCCAACTAGAGAGCAGTTATTGTTTAGAGTAGATGCCTCTGAGAATATCCCTTAGTCACTTCTTCCCCAGCTGTTCAATATTGAATGTAACAATGATAATACTAGTGCTGTGAAATACAAATAAAATATTAAACATAGAGACTTTTTAAAAAGTTACATACTTTCCATCCCAATTGATAAATTCATCATTTAAGAGCTTGCTTTCTAGGAATTGAGGGATATTACAAATGTCAGCTTGCACAAAGGGCACAACTAACAATATAATACGTCCATCAATGAAGCATGGTCATGTAGTTTCTAGAGATCAAAACCCTGGCATTATATGACTATTATTAGTACAGATTACAGTAGTTTCAGGTAAATGAAGCTAAGCCTTTATCTTGCATTAAGATCCACTCTCCAACAGAAAGTATTCTCAGTCACTGGAAACTGAATCTATAATTAGACACTTGCCCATCTCAGAGAAAGACCTGGGAGTCCTGATGGATTAAAAACTTAACATGAGCCAGCAGTGTGCTCTTGCAGCTCAGAATGCAAATGGTATCCTGGGCTCCATCAGAAGAGGGGTGGCCAGCAGGGACAGGGAGGTGATTGTTCCCCTCCACCCTGCTCTTGTGAGGTCCCAACTGGAGTACTGTGTCCAAGTTTGGAGTCCCCAGTACAAGAAGGACAGAGAGCTGTTGGAGAGGGTCCAGAGGAGAGCCATGAAGATGATTGGGGTCTGAAGCACCTTCCCTACAAGGACAGGCTGAGGGAGCTGGGCTTGTTCAGCCAGGAGAAAGGAAGGCTGAGGGGTGACCTCATTGCAGCCTTTCAGTACCTAAAGAGAGCCTACAAACAGCAGGGGAATCAACTCCTTGAAAGGATAGATAACAGCAGAACAAGGGGAAATGGTTTTAAGTTGAGGGAGGGGAGATTTAGGTTGGATGTCAGGGGGAAGTTCTTTACAGAGAGAGTGGTGAGGTGCTGGAACAGGCTGCCAGAGAGGTTGTGGATGCCCTGTAACTAGAGGTGTTTAAGGCCAGATTGGAAGTTACCTAGAAAAGCTTCATGGAGCTGTTTCGACATCATAAAATGATTCTTCTGACATTACGTGCAAGAAAACAAAAAGATATCTCAGTGCTAACAAGACAAGCATTTTATTTTTCAACAGTATATGTTTTACATAAGAAAATAATACTAGAAACAGTCATCTCTACATCTGCAAGACATAATATGAAATTTAGAAAACATAATATGAAATTTCATAATATGAAATTTAGAAAGCAAATATAGTTATATAGCTACTTGCTGAGAATTTATCACCAATTGTAGGAAAAGGGGGTTTAAGAAACAAAATTAGTCTACGTGAGAAAGAAGCTATAGATAATAACTTCTATGTACCAACACTTCCGATATATTTGAAAAAAAGAAAAATAATTTTGCAGCAGTCTTGACTATTCATCAACCAGCCAGGAACAGAGAGCTCTGAAGAATTCACTAATTTTATCTGTTAATTCCCAGAAAAATAATTAAGTTCTTAGAAACTACAAGGACAGAGAACCAGAAGCATTTCTTCCTTCATATTTTATTATTTGATTTATAATTTGTGGTTGAAAAGCAAAAAGTCATTTTCTGTTCAGGCATTTGGATTCTTGCAGGAATGTATAAGAGTGCATAATGCTTCTTCCCCAACAATCAAAGAGTGTATTTAACTGAAGCTCCAGAGCAGAATGGGGCAAACAATTGACTCTTCAGCACTGAATACAAATAGGGAAATTCCCAGAAGAAGTAGGGAACTTTCCTGCAGTAGGTAATAAGCTCTACTCTGACTATATCATGTCTCATAGGAGAGAGAAATTAGATTTTCCTGAAGAAGTTAAGTAGAACTTGAAGAAAAAGTTCACCATACAAAACTACAATGAATAGATTTGCTTTTTCAGAAACATATATTCAAGTCAGCTGACAGACCTAGTAGGATGATTACTTCCTAGTTTGTTTTCTAATTGAATTGAGCACAGCCTCAGTCTCCCTTTACATAAGCAAGACAGGTGCATCCTAAGTCTCTGAGTAGCTGAAAACACAATTAAAAAACAGTTGAAGATGGAAGGTACCTTCAGAGATTATCCAGTCCAAGACCCTTGCTTCAAAGAAGTCACCTAGCTTAGATTGCTTACGACTGTTTCCAGCTAAGTTTTAAATGCCTCTAAGATGGACACTCCATACATCTGAGTAACACATTCTAATGTTTGGCCATGCTCAAAATAAAAAGCTTTTTGTTTGTTTGCTTTTTAAGTTTCAGTGCATTTTTCTGTATTTAAGTTTATGAACATGGACTCTTTTCAGTGATACTCAGTGACAAGAAAAGAGGCTGTCTACATCTTACCCCTTCCCAGGTATTTGCACACATTGATAAAATATCTGATTTCTCTTCTCCAGGCTGAATAAACCAGCTCTCTCTGCACCTGTATGACAGATACTCCAGTTTCTCAGCTACCGTCATGGTCTTTTGCTGCACTTGCTCCACTACAACTATGTCTCTCTATTGAGGAGTCCAGGACTGAACTCCATATTTGTGTCTCACCAGTGCTGCATAGAGAGAAAGAGTCACTCCCTGTCAATCTGAAGGCAGTACTCTGCTTTCTGCAGCTGAGGATGCTGTTGGCCTTCTTTGCTGGAAGGACACACTGCTGCCTATGGTAAAGTTAGGGTTCATGAGCAAACACAGATCATTCTGTAGGCTAGCTAGCTGCTTTCCAACTAGTTGCTCCTAACACACAATTGTCACCTGGGTCTACTCCTTCCCAAGTGTAGGAGTTAGCATTTTCCTTTGTTTAATTTAATCAGATTCTCATGAGTCCATTTCTCCACCATGTCTAGTTTCCTCTCAACAACAAGCAGTGCAACCATCTGGGATGTCAAACACTCTTCCCAGTTCTGCATTATCCACAAACATGCTGAGTATGTTTTCCATGTCATCACCAGTGATGTAAATGAAGATCACAGAATCACAGGATTTAGAAGGGACTCCATCAAGTCCAAACCCCTTACTAAAGCAGGTTCCCTAAAGCATATTGCACAAGAAAGCTACCAGATGGGTTTTGATTCTCTCCAGAGAAGCAGATCACAGTATCTCCAGGCAGGTTGATCCTGTGCTCTGTCACCCTGAAAGTAAAGAAGTTCTTCCTCTTGTTCAGATGGAATATCCTAAGTTCAGGTTATGCACGTTACCTCTTGTTCTGTCATTGGGCACCACCAAAAAGAGACATCCACTTGACTCCCTCCCTGTAGTTAATACTACAGTAGTTACACTGGTAAGACCCTGTCTCAGTTTTTCCTCAAGGCTGAGCAGCCCCAGGTCTTTCAACTTTTCCTCATATATGGAACATTCTAAATCCTCAATCATCTTTGTGGCCCTCTGCTGGACTCTCCACAGCAGTTCCCTGTCTTTCCTGAACTGGGGAGCCAAGACAGAAATATTACAGATGTGGTGTCATCAGGGTAGATTGGAGGATCACCTCCCTCACTCTGCTGGCCATGCTCTTTTTAATGCTCACCAGAATACCACTGGCTTTCTTGGCCACAATGGCACACTGCTGGCTCATGGTCAGTCTGTTATGACAACTCTGCATATTACAACAACTTGAGCTCCTCCACAGTAATTCTAGAGGTACCAAGTCTCTTTCTGAAAGAACTTGCTGTCCAGATTACAACTGACAGAAAAAAAATATCTATTATAATATGATCATTAGTGTAGTATTAATAGAAAATAGTCTATTTACTAGTGACTATTTACTATAGTCATATATCATTCCATATTACTGAATGAAAATAATATACTTACAGCTTGAGTATGTAGATTGTCAGTCTTAAGTTCTCTGTGGTTGGAATACTGAATATACACAGGTTGATTGTGGATGTGAGGTATAGCAGAAGAGCAGTAGTTCACCATACTAACCGCATTTTCCTCAGAAGCCATTTCCAAAAAAGCCTGCAGTAGAATTATAACAGTATTCAACACTGTTTTGTTTACAGGAAAGAACAAAACATCAAATCATAACATATTCCTAATACCACTCTCACCAGAAAAAGAACATGTGAAAGTATAGCACTGCATTAAAACGTATTCATTTATGCAAGTTTGTGGGGATATTTGATCTGAATCTCTTAATAGACTTATACATTTTAAGTACAATATATTATTAAAGAAGAGTTGGAATAAGTATGACATATGGGAAGGCATGCTAATAAAAAATCATTGCTAATGAATTTATTAGAATCCTGAATACAAGTTTATTGTTTCAGTTGCAAATGCATACAATGATTGAAGTAGGAAGAGGGCACTAAATATCTATTGGTTTATGCACAATATTAACCCAGCCCAGTGCTGTATACAATTTCTGAATGAATGCTTATTGGTTTTAGGATTTCAGTGATTATTGATGATATAAATCACCCAGCATCTGAAAGGATTTGAAGAAAAAAAATTTACATAAAAGAATTAATCTTCATGTTAATTATTTTATCAAGCAGATGATTTCAAGACAGCTGTCAACATAAATATCAGCAAAGTAGTTCTCAATCAGCATATGTTCTTACATAAGATGTATATTATGTTTACAGCTAATGTCAACGAGTTTCTAAACCATTATGTAATCAGAAAATATATGAAAAGAAATGAATGCCAAGACATTTTCCCAACTGTGAAAGAATGAAAATTTTGAGCCATAAATGAAGTACTTAGACATCACTGCAATCATTTCAGTCAAACACAGTACCAAAAGCATTAAAGAAATGAATGACTTGAGCAGGCATGCTGTTATAATTGTTACCTGACTTTTTCCTCTTAGAATCAGTACATTGGTTACTCTGCCAAAAGGGAGGCCTAACGAAATGACATCTGCTTCAGTGGCATTATCTGGAATTTGACGAAGATGAAGGACACGAGAAGGCATGCATGGCAATCTCACTCCTTTAAGTTTTGTTTTGTCATTCCCATCACCTAAAGTGTTTTATGAAAAAAGGACAAACAAATAAGACAAACTTATTATGCAGTATAAATGCCAAAACCTAAATGGGAGAAACTGCTGTCTCAGTACAGACATTAACTATTTCCTATAGCTTTTTGAATTCTAAGAAAGGTCAGCTCATAGTTTAAAAAGGTTCCCTTCACCTGTTCCAAATCTCCACAATAAATGTGAGGTCCTTCCACTTTCCTTTTTCCTTCTCTTTCATTTCCCTGTATTCTGTTGTTTTTTGTTTAAAGTCTTGCAACTGGATATGCTAATAACTTCTTTCCAAATATGCACAAAAGATATTTACAGAGCATTAATTACACAAAAAAAGGGCAAGTTATAGTAACTGGGAGGTAATATTCATTATTTTATTACTAACTTATCTTCCTGCATTGCTAGTTCTGCAGCCAGACTTAGCTGCTACCTCAAATAATTAACAACAAAAAAACATTAAAGAAAGACTGCTGTCCCATATGACTCAGTTTAAAAGAATTCCCTTTGAAAAGTATTCAAGGCAGTGAAGCATGAAATCCATAGAGCCATTTGGCAAATGGCTTTTTTTTTTTTTTTTTTTTTTTTTTTTTTTTAGATTTGCCTATTTGAATCCTGTTACTGGTAAGTGATCAACAGTTGCTTTCCCAAGAGTTGATTCCCTGAGAGCACTTTTATGCAGAGCACCTCAAAAAACAACAACAATAAAAAAACCTGGCATATTGTTCTAGAGGGTATCACAATGGAGTAATACAAGTTAAAGTAATAAAAATGAAATTCACCAGCCAATCTACAGATGCTAGTAATAGATACTCCTAGAGGAAGATACAGAGATACAAAAGACTTGGAAAAATATCCCAAAACTGAATTTAAGTGTAACTGCATACTACGGTATACACAGGCTTTACTTTTGTTTTCCTCCTATTTATGTGCTACAAACAGCTTCACTCCAGCAAGAGAGAGAAGCTTAAGACCTCATCTGTTGCATCTGCCATTTCATAGAAGCACAAAAGATGACGAATCTCTGTATGAATTTAGCAAGTTATTTCAGATTTTCTTATAGATTTTGACTGCAGTGCAGTGTTTCACCCAGGTTATTTTTGTGCACAAGGAAAGGTATTTAATGCCCATATAACATAAGAGTTTGTTATGCTTTGCTTTATCCATCAAGAAATTTTAAATGCTATTGTATACTCCTTCTGCATTCTAGAAAACATGAAAAAGTGGCAAGCTTGCTGGGAAGGAGATTTTAAGACAAAGAGAAATATACTAAACATGCATCAGTACAAAACCAGGACAGGGTATATTACTATTAAACCCCAATGAACTGTACCATTTTGCTAAATGTAATTAGAAGGTTCAAAAAAGATAGGATGAAGTCTTTGACTTTACTAAGCTGGGTACCGCTTGACTAAATAAAGCAGAAAATGAAACCTAACAAAGATACTGACTTTAAGATGAGCATCTCTTGCAAGAGAGACATCTTGTGAGTTCTGAATCATTTCTGAAGGTGACAGGATGGAACTAAGTGGCAAGCACAGCACTATCTCTCTGCATCTTGCCTGTTAGAGGAGTTCACTGATCAGACATTCAGACAAAAAGGACAGTGCTTAACAGAACAATTTCAGCCTGTGTATCTGCAGCATACATCATCCATTTTACTAGCTACCCCTTAGTATATATGTGTTAAGGACTAACATCTGACCTAAAAATTTCATATTTTCTGTAACACTGTAAATACACTAAGTTTTCTGGGATTTGAGTTAACTCACTAAATTAATAATAAAAGATAGCCCTCCTTCCATCCCAAACACAAAGACCTCAGCATATTTTAAACCAAACTTTCTCTAGCTATTGTCTGATATGGATCTTGACAATCCACTTGCATTTACTGGCATCTAAGCTTCAAAATGGATACAATATTCTTCAAAGCATGCCCAGGATCATCTCCTCTTTGGAATTCCACACTCAATTGGGAGAAAATGGATATTGATAAGAGACACCTTTAAACAAAATTAAATTAGAGCCCAGTACTACAAACAGAAGCTCATTACAATCATGATTCATGACTGTATAGATGTATTTTCTGGGTGAATAACTTCAAATTGAGAAATGCAAAGAGATTCTAGATAAACGATCACTACATATAAGAAATTCTGCAGTTGAAGCTGTTGCATTTAGTAAAAAGCTTCATCTCAGCAAAGGTTATTAAAAGAAGTAGAGTCATCAGTGAGAACTAGGGTTTTTCTGGACTTGTTAGGAGCCACAAACATCCATTTTATTTTAAAGATCAATAGCATTTAGAAACCCTGGAAGTCACTGTGAATATGAGTGATTACACTGATAATTAATAAAAGCCAAATGAACTAAATACAAATTTATATTCCTTGCCAGCTGGCAATTTCTTACAAAAAGTACTATCTATGCAGGCCTGAAATATCTTTCAGCTATTAAATTACTGAATTATAGACTTACGCTATTTCACAACAAGCGAGAGGCTCTGGATGTCATACTAAAACAATTAATAGAACTATGAACAATGCAACATGTGCAAATAAGAAATAGAAAAGAAGAATGTTCAGATTAGCTCCTTTGTCTCCTCCCTTAATCTTATTTCCCATTGGAAACACAGCCAGCAGATCCTAAGTGCTTATAAGGAGGTTGTTTGCACTGTCCCTTGCACTCCTACAAAATCAAACACTGATGGAAAATTGTCTGTCACAAGCTAATTATTTGTAAGTAATATAAATTAACTTTTGCAGTCATGGGCCATGAATACTTCAAGCCCACATAAACAGAAAATATTTCTAAAGGAAATAGTCCCAGCCTTTTCCCACACTTAACTTTTTGCTTGACCTAAAATTTCCTGTACTAGAATACAGTTCCTGCATCTTTCTCAACACATGGAGCAAGATCTTTTTTAGGTGGTAATATCAGTTCCATACAAAGAAACCATGGCAGTGGTTTGACTTTGAGCCACAAATCACTTAAATATAATGTCTCCTTACCCTGTCTTTCTACTGAGTTTCCCACCATTTCTCAAAGAAACCCAGTGTGCTGAAGAACAATCTGTGCATAAATGTGGTGAATCAGACCAAAGAACCTTCTGATCAAGAAAAATATACATATAATTTTTTCTACTGTTTCTCTTGCAATAAATAAATAAAATAGAAGCCCTGCAATTCATCTCTGTCCATGGAGAGTTCATCTGGGGACATGAACTGGCAGAAAAACAGCTGCAAAATATATCATTGGACTGTGTGCTGCTGCTCAAATCTTAGAAGCAGGGTAGAAAGCATGAACAAAAACATTTAATAAAACCAACTCAAATGTTTATCACAAATCCATACAACATGCCCTATACTCCACTAAATACTGAGACCAGTATTATGTATTCATCTCCTGGCTTTGTAGTCTAGATGGTAGTGAATACTTAAGAAGAAATTCCTTTAAGTGTCCAACTATAGAAAAATGGAGCAGGTGTTAGAGAATTTCCACAGAAGGCTACTTGCCTGATCATGATTACACAAAATTGGTGTTTCTTGGCGCATCCCAACAAGTCAGTTTTAGAGCTCCTCAACACTGCAACTGAACAAAACTGGGTAGATTCCAGTGCCTCTACTGTTAGAGTCACCTTACGCAGTTCAAGACTGGTGAGAATGCTAACTGTGACAATTAAGATCTAACTAAATAAATAAAAATTCAGAGAAAATACATACATTGAAGAACAACTGTGATAAAAATAAACTGTGATAAAATACATTTTTCTTATACCTTTAGCTGGAGTAGAATTGCTCACAGTAAGAGACTTTCCACTGTCATTGGAAGAAAGCACATTGTCAGGTCCATGCTGAAAAATAAAAGACAAGTTTACCAGTAAAAGTTGTTACAGAGAAAAAGCCTGATAAAACAAAGCTTAACAACTACTTCTGAAGAAAATCTCCTTTCTATGTGTACTATCCACTATTGCTGTGAATTTATTTTTCAGAAAAACAGTGCTAACCGTACAACTGCTCATTCGATCTCATGCTAGTTAGCAAATTCAGACATGTTACACTTATTCTCTCATTTATCTTACTATAGCCCATGTTTTAAAAGATTAAAAAATGATTATTAAAAGAAATTAGTTGGTAGCAGGCTCTGAGTCTGTGCTCAACTTTGCTTCCAGATACAAATAAACACATAGCCACACTGATCAGCAGTTGTGCTGATCTAGAAACACTAACTTGCAACATTTTCAATATACCTGTAATAGTTTTTTTAAACTTAGTTATCAGCCAGAGAATTTGATTGTGGATCACCCATACTTATTAAAAAAAAAAAGTAGTAATGAATAGTACATTCTTTAGGAATATGGAGAATTTGTGACTCTACCCACTAACAGAAAAGAGTTGGAGCAATACAGTTTATTTGTCCAAAAATGCCAAATCCAAGACTTAACTGACAACTGAGCACTGATTTTACCCATTAGGTCTGCTCTAGTATGATAGCCAAGCATCATCTTTCCACACAGTTCCTCAAAATGCCAGAAAGGTACTTCCTAAGACAATTAATGTTCTTGAAATTTGCAGTACACCGCTCTATAAGAGTACTTACATGAATAAATTGAGACTGAGGGAGATAATCTAGAAAATGGAGTAAGCAGATTCAGAAAACAACACAACTTTCCTGAAAGGAGAAGCTCCCATTGCCCTTGCCCCAGTATTCCCACCAGCTCCACAAAATAAGCAGTTTGTGCTGCATCAGTTCTGGTGCCTAGGAGATTCATTATGAGATGATTCAATCCTTCACTAGTGAATTTCAGCAGTTTGAATAAGTTTATCAGCTGAAAGCAAGATCTAGAGTAAGGGAAGGGCAAGGAGAGATTTTTCTATGAAAGCATCCTTTTGGCAACAGTAAGCCATACTGTTTGGTATGGGCTGCAGAAGTATTTGCCATTGAGGGCTGGTTATAAACTGCATAAAGCAGCTATTCAGTCCTTTTTGTCCTTGCAGTTTGCCATGGGTTCCTGCTGCTTCCCCAGTGTTCACAGAAATATAGAATGGTTTGGGTAGGAAGGGACCTTTAAGATCATGTAGTTCCAACCCCCTGTTACAGGCAGGGACACCTCTCTACACCAGGTTACTCAAAGCCCCATCCAGCCTGGACTTGAACATCTCCAGGGTGGGAGCAGCATCCATGGCATTGCTGGTGGATTTGTTCCAATGTCTCACCACCTCCACAGTAAAGAATTTCTTCCTAATATCTAGTCTAGAGCCACCCTCATCCAGTTACTACCTGCCCTTATAAAGAGTCCCTGCCCAGCTTTCCTGTGGACCCCCTCCAGTACTGGAAAGCCACTATAAGATCGATCTCCTTGGAGCCTTTTCTTCCCCAGGCTGAAGAGTCCTAGTCCTATTAACCTGTCCTTGTAGGGGAGCTGCTCCAGCCCTTTAATCATTCTCATCACCCTCCTCTGGACCCATTCCAACATCTCCATGTTCTTCCACGTTGGGGGCCCTAGAACTGGACACAATACTCCAAGTGGGGTCTAGGAAGGTCATTCACAACAGAATTGTCTGTCTAGGTTAGGGTGGTAAAAAAAATTTCTCAGGCAAAGTTAGCTGCTCACAGAATATCACAAGTGTTAGAGTCAGGATTAAAACAAGACTGTGTTCATCCCTCACTGGCAGCAGAAAATACTTTTGAATCAAGAAATCACATCTTGACAGTACAAATGCAACATCTATTACAGTAAGCATTGAGAAATAATCTTTTAAAAAAAGAAAAAATATAGAAAACATTTAAAGGAATTCTGATTCTAATTGTTTTCACTTGCCCCCAATTAAATCTGTTTCCAATTAAAATATAAGCTAATGTAAGGAGCAGCCTAATTAGTTGAGAAATACAGTACACTGTAAGTCATACAGCCCAACTCAAATTTATTTGCATGGCCATGCTTTAACTTTATAACTGTTTGTGGATGAAATGATTGCTGGATTTCCAATAATCTCATATTCTGTTTGGTTAGATGCTGGAACTTAATTAACACTCAAAACCAGTATTAATTTTTAGTTATTACATGTATCTTGAGTATGCGAACACCTGGGTTCTGAACTTCTAAGTAGGATATTTTGCTTGTAAAATACTGCTGTAACTTCAGTTGACAGATTTTTTAGCTTTTTTTTTTTTTAATAAGTGTTTATTCAACAGAATAAATATCTGCATTTTTTAAGAAGGCTGAATCAGAAGTTGTTGTTTCAGCATGACAACCTCCAGCAGTAGGTGCCTTAACAGACCATCTTGCAGCTATTTGTTAAGAACTCTGACACCAAACATACCTATGATTATTTTAACAGATCAAGTTAGCTTCAAGGATGTAATATGCATTCTCACAATTTCATATTTAATTTAAATGAGCTGATACCCAAAAAATACGCTGAAGGCTTTTTCAGAACAAAATAATTTTCCAATCCCTTACATTTTAAAAGGCTTTCACAACTGATTCAACTCAGGATTCAAATAAGCATCTTCAGACAGAAACCAGAACCTATGATTTTAACAAGCAATTTACTTAAAATATATGCAGAAATTAAGTAAATATATAAAGGCAGGGTTTTTACCAGTCAAATTAAGTTGTCTAAGGCTGAGAAAAATCTACAAACTATGCACTATTAGATATAGATATTTCATGGGATTTATACTGCACAACAAACAAACAAAAAAGATCTGCTTTCAACCAAAATTTTACTGCTTCCAATAAAAAGGAAGCATCAACAACTTACAGCATAGGATATTTTGCAGGTATGTCACATGAAATTGTAACTGGAATGTTTGACACTGACTTCTGGGCAAAATTCTTAGATTGCTTCCGCAAAAAATATTAACATTCAGGGTTTAAAACACCAAGAAGAACAGACAAGCCTTCACAGCAAATCACAAAGGCTGTAACTCACTATAAGAGATAACACAGAAAGTCTGTAAATCAAACAATCTTCCTCTTAATGATATTTCAGCCATCTCAGAACAAGTTCAAGCATATTCTGAAATCTTTGTGGGCCATTCCATGAATGCAGCTTCCTCGAGTAAGGAATTCCACACTGCTTGTGGATTTGTGCTGCAAACCAGATCAAGGAAACAAATCCAAGTTATTGACACATATGCACACGGACATACAAAATAATTCAGGTGTCTGCAACAGTCTATACTACAACTCTGAAGAACTGCAGTGAAGCTATAGCATAGAATGAACTGCTTCAGAAAAGTGGGACTAATCATTCCATTAGAAAGTGTAATCACAACATTCAGTGGTGACATGTGCCTGCACCTGAGCAGATGCATCATTGAACTAGTATCTCCTAACACAGCTGCATAGGTTCTACCTATCTTTTGACAGCCGTTAACTTAGGAATATAGATAGCCATGACAATGAAAGCTCTTTTAACCCACGAGGTCACCATCTTGTCAGCTGTTTTACTTGATCTAATGAAGGTGTTGAGTCTCTTACAATACAAGAAACAGTCATCATTACAAATATATAACTATCTTCATATCAACAATTTGCTTGCGTATCATGAAGTGTACTTAAGATTGTACTTAAATTTTTGTAAACAAAACAATTACATGTTAAATTAAGATGCTACAGAACAATTGGCCTGAGAGCCACACTGATTCTAGAGTGTTGTTTTTTTTTTTTTTTTTTATAACAAAACTTGTTTTCTCACATCCACAATTTTTTATTATTCTATTATCTGAATACTCCACTGAAATACTGTTCTGATATGTAACTTTCTGTCCTAATACTAAATTACTTACCTACTCACACACAGTTACAGTCTATTTACTTATTATGCTGTGCTCCCTACAAGAGCCTGCTACAAGAGAACTGCTATCAACAAACTTTTTGCAGACAGATGACCAACCTACTTCAGAAGCACAAGAACACCACAGAGACAATGTTCTACATTTTGTCCTTTACCCGACCATGGAGCTGACCAGCTTTCTCAGTCACTGTCTGAAACAAAAATCAAACCCAATGTGGAAACATTCTAGAAGAATGCAAAGATTGACACAGTTCTTCTGTAAGCTGAAGCACAACATGCAAGTGTTGGGGTTAGTCTAGAGAAGGAAAGAAATAAGACATTTTGACCACCAGTGTCCTCCTATATATTTATTAACACAAGTCTACAAAGGGATGACAGAATTCAAGTTCTCCAATTCAGTCCCTCTCCCTTTCCCAGAAAGCACTGAAAGAAATGCTTTGAAGCATAATTAAGTATGACGTAGGACAAAGCTCTAAACACTGCTCTGCTAAAAAGGCAAGTGCTAAAAATGACTACACAAGAAGTTACTTTGGTCTAGATATTATGCTACAAATCCTTATTAAGTCTTTCTGTTGTGTCTCAGTCTTGCCAGAGCTCCTACTTTCTCTCTGTACACAAGCTTTCAGTTGGCTTATTTTTAGTTAATTGCAGTTTAGAAACTCCAGCTGGGAAACCAGTCAGAGCAACCAAATCCTGTCTGCAAAGTTACTCTTGATATCCTTCTTGCCACTGATTTTGACACACTTGGCAGGAACTTCTTCCAGCAAAGATGTCAGCTTACAAGGCCCTTACACCTATGCTGCTGTTTCAGCTTTCACACCACAACAGTCTGAGTTAACCACGGTATCTTTTGTCCCCATTCTCATACCAGCATCCCAAACACATCAATAACCTCATAATGGGTTAAGATTATTTTTTCTTAAATCACAAGCTGACTTACACCTCTCCTCTTTCTCTACAAGATTTCCACATTTGTTTGGAATTACTGAGCATTGATAAGAGCAACAGAGCATCCAACAACTAGATCAAATTGATTCTTTAGTTATTG